TATTCAATATTTTTTCATCCTTTTTTTTATTACGGCTTAAACATGAAGGTCATTAGCTGGATACAAATATAATTTACATTTAAGTTTAATATTGTAATAATATGTACATTTACCTAATAATTATAAATATTATATAAAAATATGTTATTATAAATGATAGAGAATAGAGCAGAGTAACAACAACAACAACAAAAAAAAAAAGGTTAATTAAAATATTATTTGTACATTATATGAAATACTTAAATTCGGTTGTATAGGTTAGTTATTTTAAGAAAATACATCAATAAATTAAAGTTTTTATTTGCTGTAATGTATTTAAGACTTGTTGGAACAGGAAATATTTTTTTCTCTTCAGTTAGGTGAATCTCATTTAAGGATGAGATGTTTTATAGATATTAAAGATGTGTTTCAGAATTCACATAAGGATTTTGGTTCTCTTCTCATCAAATAGACGTGGCTAATGTTGTGTGACCGAACTTTATACGTGACCATATTTTCTGTTCTCGTCTTGTGTAGGAAGGGGGGTACAGGTTTGGAGCTAAAGAAGGCTTGATTTGATTAAGTTTGTTGTTGGATTCCTGGTCCCATAATTGTTGAACTGCTTTTTTGCTCTTTTCAACGGCGCATCTGATTGCGTTTTTAAGGGACAATAATACTATTTATGGGGTATTATTATTATCGATGGATGCTTTCTTAGTTGCTTCATCGGCTTTTTTGTTCCCAGTTATGTTTTTGTGTGCAAGAACTTAAAAGAAGGGATCGAAGGGATAGAGAAGAGGTCCTTTCTTGGATATGGTTTATTATTTCATTAGATGACCCGTAGTTTTTTTTATAGCTAGGATAGAGCTAAGAGAGTCACTAGCAATTAAAAATGACTCTGTGTTTTTCAAATACTGTTAAATTAGTTCAAGTGATATTAGGATAGCGAGGGCTTCAGTGGTGAAAATAGAGTGATATTCAAGGGAGGAAGATTTGAATATTTCTTCATCTGATATAATCACAAAACCTGGTTTCTCGTTAGATTTAGATCCGTTGGTATAAATATCTTTGYGGTTATGAAAGTCATTACGTATAATGTCCGTAAATTTTTGGGAATTTCTGAAGAGTCTGAGTTTTCTACTTATGTATCATTGATATGTTGATGTGAAGTTCCATTTTCCAAGGTGGGTATATGTAGAGTAACGGAGGTAGCAATTTAGGAAGGGGTGTATTTGTATTGTCAATCCACCTTTTTAGTCGTGTGGATATTGGCTGGTTTTTTTGAGACGGTTTGAAGGTGGTAAGTTTATAAATATGTATTATGAGATGGTRTTTTCTTTGTCTACTAGACTTTTAAGTGCGAATTTGTATGTGAGAATATTGCGTCTTATATCAAGTGGAGGTGTATTTGCTTCACATAGGATGCTTGGGATGGGACTAGTTTTAAAGGCACTAATGTTTAGTCAGATGCCTTGGTTGTGGATYGGGTTTAGTGCGTTTAGTATTGAATTTAGGGCTGCTCCGTAGATTATGACTCACACTTTTACATAACTGACATATTATTATATTATGTCTAAATGTCTRCATCAATTTATAAATGCGTGGGTTTTATCAGGAGGGGAAATATTATTCATGACCACGTTTTGTATTTGGATCAATTATGGATTGTATATACTATATTGGTTAGTACTGTTAGTAGTAGATAATTATTATAGACTATGATAAATTATGTAATACATATATAACTATTCAAATGCATTTYTAGCTTAATTTCTAGTTTATTTTATTTTTTTGTTGATGTTCGGAGCCACGAAACTAACATTTTAAGCTACAATTTGTTTTGATACAATCAATAACACATACCTCATACATATATAAACATTAAATATCAAAAAATCTCAAGCATTCGTTTTAAAACCAATTTGTTTTATCTATTTTATTTTTTCTAAATAAGACAAAACAGCTTAAAATGCTTAAATAAGCACCCGTTGAGTTCCAAACAGTTATAAGCAATTGATCTATTTTTCTTAGTAATATTAATAATAATAATAATTTAAAAAAGGCGGGTAAGTCGTGGATGTCGCTTTGCTGTACAGTTAGTAGGTTACAAGTGGGTTAYTGTAATGGATGGAATTAAATTTGAATGCTTATAAAAAAAAATCATGACTATGTATTTCTTTTATTTTGCAACTGCTATTGTAAGAATATGTTAGGAGCCTTGTATTAAATTTTCAAATCTTAGAATTAAAAAGAAAAACTTTTATGAATTTTTATCTAAGATAATTTGAACATTGCCGTAA